ACTATACTTTTTATACCGATTAGTTTGTTTATTGGTACTGCTTTGAAAATTGTGTAAAATATCAAGGTTGCGCGCGAACCGTTCAGTCGTGGAATACTTGGTTGCATAGTACTGGGTGTCGATGTCTCAATTAATTGTTAAAAATAAAAAGTCTCCCGTCTGTTGTAAGAATTTTACACCCGGACTAAGGACAGTCTTACGCATACCTTAGTATGGAATAACTAATGTAACTTTAACATGGATCAATTTTAAGTGAATAGCCGTTTCTGTTGACCTTCGAATAGGACGGATGGTAGATATTGCATACATTTTTCATATACTATTATGAATGTATTATATAAACAAATCAATTTCATCAAAAAATGTTTTTAAATCACAATCAGGACCGAGCATCTGAATCAATTATGCTGCCGGTCACCTTCATCACCAGCTCACTATACGTCACCACTGAGGAACTCCGAGCCATCTATATCAATTAATTTGTATGGTTTCTGGGTGCGCGGCAGTGTACCCGCTGAGGCGAGCACAGCCTAACACTATTTTCTCGAAGCGCACTTTTGACCCCTTGTAACTTCGTTGTGGATACAAATATCGCTAAGTACCTAAATCAAAAGAATGAACCTGGATACGTTCAGTATTTTCTTGTTTATTTCTAGTTTTAAGACTTACGGTTAACTATTGAGTTTATAACAATGGGATTTATTAATAAGCGCTGTAAAACTGCGTGAACCGAGTCTAGGAAAGTGAAATGAAACAATGATATCATTTTGCTTAATTTATTGATACAATTCTCAACAACAAATACTGGAATACTACAAGATGATAGAATGTTAATAATATTTTACTTATGAAAACTACATTTCATTAAATTCATTTAAGATTTTTATAATAAATCACATCACCAACTTTTAGTTGAAAAAACTAACTAAAGGAACATAATGCTAGCCATTGTCAACACAATGGGTGTTACACACCATCAAAATAAAAAAAATATTCAGTCCGAATTGAACATTTACCTGTGTTATAAAATAAATACAGATCAAAGAAACACTAATTGGATGAGAAAAGTAATATTTTCACATAGCATTTTTTTATTTTTAAACTTTGCCTCGTACATAAAAATATGCAATATATTTGGTAATAAGCACAGACATGTTACAAAAATACATAGGATTTAGAATGTACCTTATATATTTCTATATCATAATATAAAAATTCATCAGCTTATAGAAAATTTTAAATATTTAAATCCATAACATTTAATTCAAAACAATGTTTTTATTAAAATTACAAATTAATTTCATTCCTATGCAATCTTTAATAAGAAAACATTTGGTTTTTATAATTTAAAAAAACACCAATGATAGGTCTGTTTATGTTTAAGGAGTAAATACTTTTAATTATCGTTATTAGCATTGAAGTAAAGCTAGAAGGCGGCGGCCATTCTCCCTCACTGCCGTATACCAACAAACAATGCAAAAGCATCTCGTTATATGTAACATAGCTCTACATAGACAAACACTTTACGAACACTATATTAATGTATTTAAAACAAACTAAATATATTGGTGTTATATTATTTTGGGTCACTGCCCCATATTGCAAACGACATCACAAAAAGATAAAAATCACATTTTTTTTATATTTTTCAAAAAGGCCCATTCTACGGCTCGCCAATCGAGTAAAATATTTCTTTGACTATCTGGAAATTACGCTTACATAATTATAATATTTCAATATTAAAATTGATATAATAAATCCAGTGTAAGTTAATAGCAGATTATTCTACATCGAATAACGTACGCCTTATAAGGATTAAAATATTATGAAACGGTTAATATGTCTGCTTTTCTATTCGTATCACTAAAACGCACGAGAATATTCTATGTTACGCTAAATATAAAATTAGTGTAGTTATAGCGCGGAGCAAAAGTGCACGATATAGTTTAATTATGTATAACCGTAGCCCGTGTCTCTCATAGAGATATCGCTCGTAAAGCGGACGACCAGTGTTACACGGAAATCTTGTACGCAGCTTTACGAGTAATCGCTCTATAATGTAAGAAGTAGCTATAATAATAGTTTCAGCGAGATGATGTGGGTCTCAGTTGAGGTGGAAGCCGCGCTCGTTGGTGGCGGCGAGCAGGCGCTCGCGCAGCACCTCCTTGCACGAGTACTCCGGCAGCTTCAGGTAGTGCACGCACGTGTTCACCGACGGATACGAACCGTCGCCCGCGTCCACCTGCAGACGAACAAATACATTTTTTTTATACTATAAGGTGGCAAACGAGCAAGCGGCCACCTGAATCTACCTAAATGGAAAACGACCGCTGCCCATAGACATCGGCAATTGCAGATGCGTTGCTTACCCTTAATTGACGGAGGAGGAGACGCATATAAAGAGGACATTTCCCCTTCCTATGCGTCTCCTTCACCGTCAAATCCATTTTTCCTTCCCATCCTTTCCTCTTAAGAAAAGGGTGGAAAGGGAAAGGGACTACAATTAGGCCTCCGGCACCACACTCATCAGACGAAACGCGGAATTGCTTCCACTTCACGCCTATTTTCTGTGTGGTCGTGGTATTGCACCGGGCGAGCCGGAACATTCGTGCGAAGATGTTAAAGCGGCTCTACCACTGTTGTATACATACTAATTATCAAGTAACAATCATACTAATCATACATCATAATATTATAAATGTAAAAGTTTAGATGGATGGATGGGTAGATGGATGGATGTTTGTTAGAGTTTGTAGCATAAACGGCTGAACGGATTTCTTTGAAATTTGATATAGATGGAAGAGGATAGTCTGGAAGAACACATAAGCTACTAACTTTTGTTTTTTTTTTTTAATTCCACGCGGACGGAGTCGCGGGCGAAAGCTAGTACCCTATAACTTGATTACCTTTTTTACAGATGATGCTAAATTTCATAGTATCTTAGTTATTTTATTGGTAATTTATATTAAGGAAAGCGACTGTACGTGGTAACTTATGTGCGTGTGTGTGTGAGGCGGCGAGGGAGAGGAGGTAGGGGGGAAGAAGGTGGATGAGGGGGAAAAGAAAGGGGAGGGTTTGTTACCTTGCGCACTACGGTGAGGCGGGGGTGCAGGTTGGCGAGGCCGCCGGGCGGCAGGGTGCTGCAGCCGGTGGCGAACTGCAGGAACGCCTTGCGCTCCGGCACCGACATCTCCACCAGCACCTCCACCAGCCGCAGGAACCCGGGGCTATTAACATTACATTTATGTTATACATCTTTTAATGTACACGATCACGGCACACCAAATTGTATACGTAACCACAGGAGGAGGCTAAAACATTCTACAAGTATATGATGTGTGAAACAATGTCACCTAGGTATTTATTATTTTTAACATTTCTCTAAAAACATTAAGTAGTATGTCTCGCCTTAATAATAAAGTAATGCCCTTCATACAATTAGCGCATTGTATATGCATGTGTTCAAACAACTGTACTCGGCGAGGTGCAGGGGGGGCCGGCAAGGGCGGCTACAATGGAACAATGGCGGCTAGACAATACCACTTCACTTGTGTCCCTCGCTTCTTTTAATTCACAAAGCGCTCTCAGTTAAACCCTGTCTTTTAACGCGAAACTAGTTTACATACGCATGTCTGTATATTCAAGTGTATTATCATTAACTCTATATACACGCGCAGCCTTTGTATTAACTAATAAAAAGTTTTATTAATATAATTAATTGTTTGCATTTTAGAACAATTAATTATATAAACCTAAACCAATAACTTTCGAAGACAAAAATTAATTTATTTAACAACCACTTAATAAAATGTTGAAAGCTGCCATCAGTAGCAAGTCACCATTACGTGCGTGTGTGTGCGTGTGTGCGTGTGTGCGTGTGTGCGGCAGTCACCTGTCGCGCGTGT